TTTTATCGGCTAGAAGCGATCGAATCGAAATGAAACAAAAACAGGTAAGCAAAGCGAGTCGAGTTTGACTGGTAATGTATGCAATTGCAGGGACCCAGGCGCAAAAAACTTTATCACTGCAACGCAACTACAAAAAACTATTATTTGAAGTATTATCTTAAGAATGAATATATATTATAATATATATTAATCATAAAAGTATATTATACTTTCTTATATTTATTATATTTTTGTATATTATATTATACTTATGACTTAAAACTACCCGAAGTTACAGTAAGGTAATAAAAATTGTACGACACATTTTAACAAAACTATCATCCAAATAACTACCGTCGAACCGCGATACCGACTTGAGCTTTAGATTATAACTAACCTGCCGTTCCAGTTGGCTTAATACCAACGGAAATGGTAAATTAAAAATATAAAAAAACTTTGTTGACCCATTAATTTAATATTGTATTAAATTCTTGTCGATAATCTAGTAATATGTATTGTTAATTTGGCGCGTTTTACCTCTAAACTATTATTGACTCTAATTTTTTGTTGTAAAATTTTAAAAGTTAAGTTAGCTAAAAGTTTTAACGTTTTACCTCTAATTAATTATTGACTCTAAAGTATTTTTGATGTTTTCATTAAAATAATTCATTACTAAGTTGATTTAGTATCAGGCGATTGTTACAGCCCCAAAAACACGACGAAATGTATTCCGCTACCACATTTAAAACACATGCTCTTAATATCCATTGTATTGGAACAAAATTTACAACTAAGCAAATGTTTTTATTGTTCTCTAATAAGACACTTTGAGCATAATTAGGAGTCCCCTAAAATTTATATTCTTTTAAATTAGTTAACAAATATCTCAAGTGGTATATATTTTCTATAATCTATAATTTTCTAAGTTGTATGTATATATTTTCTTTAATAATGTATTATCTATAGTACACCGCAACATACCTGCTATATTTTTTTTATATTTTCCAGAATTTCTATATATTAAACGGTTGTCTGGAAGAGATAGCTTTTAGCGATAAGACAGCCTATTGTACAAATGTATCTGCTTTTTTGATTGTTTTTGAATGTAAATTGTGTTTTGGTGTGCAATAAAGTGTATTCTCTCTCTCTCTCTCTCTCTCAACTGGTATTAATGTAAAAATACAATGCTGTATATTTAACAAAAATTTATATTAGAAAGAGCCTTAATACTACTGGATTACGAAGCATACATTTATCACACGAAACAAGGCACAAGTCGGTAACCGAAAATATGAATTAGATGCGTTCAAAAGCATTTACAATTACAACACGAAACGCTAATAAGATATTTCGGTGACGCCATCAAACTTCCATTAGCAATTAATTGGAATATCATTTTGACGTTACGCCGCCGCTGCGAAATTAATTGCTGTATGTATTGCTGATGTCAGTTTCGGTTATTTGAAATGCAAAACAAATATCCTTACGTGTTTTGAGTGCGGTGAAATGGAAATAAGTTAATGCAATTATTGAAGATAATAATATGGTTGTAAAATTAGTGAAAATTTATTTAGAAAGATTTTTTATTGTTTTTTTTTTTATATATTTTGCAAGCACTAATAATATCGAGTTCTTGCCTAAGCATTTATTATTACCTATTTCTCCTCACACATTAATAAAAATCAATATTGTACAAGCCACAAAAAAAGATCCGAATTAGGCAATTCTGATTTCTCTTCGAGTATACAACATTGGTTTTTGCTTTTCGTTCTCAACTTTTTTTTTTTTTGGGCTCGTCCAATTTTCCCTGGTGACAACTAAACTTAATATAATAATATAATAAAATCATAACAAATGCTAAATTTAACTGTAACGAATCTTGAATTACTCCTGCGACCCGCGGAAACCGAAGAAAGTACTTTTATTTTGTAAATCTAACTATTAATGGTACTTGACCACATTGTGACTATTACTATAAAGAATGTACATAAACTAAAAAACTTTCTTTAATGTATTAAAGGTTTATTTAATGTCGAATTTATATACCATATATAACACTTTTTTATTTGAAAACGCAATCGCATAATTTTAAGGAACTAGAGATCCCGCAGTAGTCGAAATTCGACTATAATTAATTGGAATTGTAAGTTTGTACACTATTATGATTGTATTGTATACTTCTATAATCACAAATTTCGCCAATCTAGTTTCAATTTGACCACAAACGTCAAGAACAAAAGTTTGACAATAAATAGTATGCATGCGTGTGTGCGTCAAATAGATGGTATGTACTGTGTGTAATGTTTTCTTTATTGATTTAATGTATGTTCTATGCATTATTTAAAAAACATATTAGCATTGTGCACTTCTTCTCTATATTCTCTATAAGTGTAGAAAATTTCATACTATTCCGTCCGCGCAATTTTCGTAAAAAGGGATACAAAGTTTCTGCTTCACGTATTAATATATAGATTATATACATATTAGTTTTACAGGACAGGAGCAAGTCTGCTTAAACGTTACCCGTTCATTCAAATGAAGAAAAAAAACAATACATTTAATTTTTGTTTACACAGATGTTCATTTGTTTTATTGCGGTTCGATTATTGAGTAAACGACAGTGTAATGCGGTACTTTATATTTTTTAAATATTATATTAATACTAGCGACGCGCCCTCGCTTCGCTTCGGATACATTAAATTTTATTATTGATAGCTGAGGCCCGCGATGCTACCCGCGGTTATTGTCGTACCGCGGGTGACGCCGCGGGGCGAAGCTAGTCTTTAAAAAAGTAGCCTAAGTTACTCCTTATATCATCAGCTACCTATCAGTGAAAGTCTCGTCAAAATCAGTCCAGCCGTTCCAGAGATTAGCCGGAACAAACAGACAGACAGACAAAAATTATAAAAAATATTATTTTGGTGTATGTACCGTATATATATTCATATGTATGTAGCAAAAAGCGGTTATTTCAATATTATAAACAGACACTCCAATTTTTGTTTATATGTATAGATTAATATAAACACAACATTTTAACTACAATGCAAATGTATATAAACCTATTTAATTTGGGATTTTTGTTTGTTCCAATAAAACATACCGCTTTGGTACAGTAATAGAGAAAACTTTAGTTAGCTCAACTCACGACATCGATATATTTAAAAATGAATTGCTGTTCGTTTGTCTCGCTAAAACTCGAGAACGGCTTCACCGATTTGGCTAATTTTGGTCTTAAATTATTCGTGGAAGTCCAGAGAAGGTTTAAAAGGCGAATAAACATAAAAATGCTCGAAATTAAACAAAAATAACAGTTTTGTTTTTCCTTTGATATGTGTCCCCCGTGGGGGCGAATTTTGTTTGTTTTAAGTTTATTTTATACAAAACTTTAGGTCTTTTATTTATCGATTGAGGCACTACGAAGTCTGCCGGGTCAGCTAGTACAATATATGTATATATTTTGACTGGAAGGCAATAAACTTTGAAATTGAAAAGGCATTTTCCCGAGCTGAAGCCATGTTTAATTATGTCGGGCTATGCAGTTCTGTAACTGAAGTTTAGGTTCGTTCTACACGCACGCGCGAATAAATGTAATCGTACTGCGTATTTCTACTGCATCTTCTAATAGATCTTTAGATTGATGACGAAATTTATATCGCTGTAATTTTATGTGTACGTTTCGGCAAGGACCAAAGGATTCTTGTTTTAATGCTTAGATGGGTGGACGAACTCACAGCCCATCTGGTGTTAAGTGGTTACTGAAGCCCATAAACATCTACAACGTAAATGCGCCACCCACCTCGAGATATAAGTTCTAAGATCTCAGTATAGTTACAACGGCTACCCCACCCTTCAAACCGAAACGCATTACTGCTTCACGGCGGAAATAGGCGGAGTGGTGGTACCTACCCGTGCGGACTCCCAAGAGGTCCTATCACCAGTGAAAAACGTGAATGCAGACCTATAACATGGCTTTTGAATTACAAAGCTTAAAGTAAACATAGAGACCCAAAGAGAAAAACTTTTTCAAACAAACTAGAGTACTACGATCGGATCGTCGAGGCGTCGTGTCCCCTTACAGGGGCACGGGATGGGCCTTAGGAAAACCCCTCTGCCCGGGCTTGTGACTCCCTGCCTATTGAGGCAAGGGTGATGCGCTGCGGGTTGGTGAGTGGCAGGCTTCATTTTACTATCGGTGGGACTGACTTCTTTCTTCGTTTCTCCCTTGATCTCTTCTCCTTCTTCTCTTCGTTCTTCAGGGGCGGCCGCTTCTCCTCCATTTTTTTTTATCTGGTGTATACTATAAAGACACATTTAATACTGTTGCAGTCAATAAGGCGATTACGATCTGATAGAAGATTCTGCGAAGCATCGCTATGGTCAGGCCCAGTGTTAGCAAACTCTATCAGGATGAGCCCCGTGAGCTTACCTACCGGCCAGTGCATCGCTGAAATAGCCCTTTAGGCTACTAGCTTATAGGTAGGGAGATAAGTCAATAAGATCATATAACACAATAATATTAGACTGTTTTAAAAAATGTTAGTCAGTGTAAATCTTCGAACGAAAATTGCAGTAAGTTTCATGTTGGTATCCTATTAATAAATAGCACAGTATCCTATAACGGTGTAGCAGAGCCCTAAGCGCTTAAACCGCTCAGCGCTAACTAGCTCAGCCCGTGATCTAACTTTCATGAACTTAAAGAGTAGTAAAAAGCTCGGAATAAAGTCGCGATTAGTTCGGAGGATATAAGGTGAGTTAAAGTTTAACCATCAGCTTTAATGACCATTACGTCGTCTATCTACAAATAAATAAAGAAGATGTCTGTCTGTGGTTTTGAAGTAAAGGTTTTGGTCGTCAAATGGATTTTTTAGATAAAACCGAACAATACTTTAATAATCTTTAGCTTCATTAATTAATACAAGAAATATATACAAATGTTTTGTTAACACCTTCAGTATAGACATTTTCTTAGAGTTATAGTCTCTGAAGTAGACACGTTATAGAACACGCTTCTTTGTATACTCGTAATATGACAATGCACACAAAACGCACATAATATAAAAGTAACTCGAACATAATACGACAGTATAAACTAGGTCGCGAGGATGTTCATTTTGTTCTGTTTTATATCTACGGTTGCAGCATATTATGTACAAGGTATTTATTATATAATTCATAAAAAATAATACTTATTTACAACTTTAAAATGATTATTGTCATTCTGTGTATTTATTTGGAATTCAATGTGTGTGTGTTAATAATATGTGACATTCCGAAATATTGTGTTTGAGAAAATGTTCGTGGATTGATGTTTCTAGAATGAACTCAAATTATGAAAACTTAAGAATGGTAGTGAATAATTCTACCGTTACTATTATACTGTATTCAATTATTATTAATTAACTGGTTGGTAATAATGTGTTTTATTGTTACCAAATATTATTTGATAAAAAGAAAAAGATTCGTTAAAAACAAAATCCTGTCCATTTACTGGCATTGGCATTTTAAGCTATGTTCGTATAAATTTCAAACTCATCGTAAGGCTAGTTTGAAAATCCTTTCATAGTGGCATTAGATTTTAAGCTATGTTCTTATTAATTTGAAACTCATCGTAAAGCTAGTTTAAAAATACTTAACAAAGTATCAGGTGAAAAAAAAGACAGTGTAACACTAAAAATGTAATTAAGTCATGGCATTAAGTCCGCCTGTGTACAAGTTTTGTTTTGTGCATAAAGTATATTATATAAAAAAAATGTGTGCGTGTACTAGTGTACACACGTAAGAAGTGAAACTTGTTTATGGCCTTATTTTTCGAAAAATGATCTACATGCAACTTTCTAGAAATTGGTTAAATAAAGTTAAATTAGATAAAGTTTAAACAAAAGGATTTTATTATCATAGACATGAATACAAAAAAGTTAAATTAGATAAAGTTTAAACAAAAGGATTTTATTATCATAGACATGAATACAAAACAGATGGCGCGTAACGGAAAAAAGTGACGCGTAACCGAAAAATGTGACGGTAAATTTTTTTCCAACGCCGATAAGGAAGTTTCACTTCAAAAAGATGGCGCGTAACGGAAAAATGTGACGCGTAACCGAAAAATGTGACGGTAAATTTTTTTCCAACGCCGATAAGGAAGTTTCACTTCAATAATAAATAAATAAAAACGTGGTAGAGAAATTTCTACAAAATTCTTAATAAGACTCTCAAACAGATTGTACAGATTTCTTTACTTGCTTCTAGAATTACCACTAATAGTACCATAATGTAATCCACATTATGGTACTATTATCTGGGTATCGACAGTGGGATCAATAATTAGTTATTCCATTCACTACTTATTAATGGACGGGCTTAGTTATAGATCAATTTCAGGATTGTCTTCGAGTATTGCGTAATAAAGTATTTTCATTTAAGGAATAACGTGATTAAATGTGTTAAATGTTCACTTTCTTTCTTTCATTCTCTGAGCATTGCCATTATTAAAACAGCTCATTTGAGGGACCTCAACGTTGCTCATAGACCTCAGATATTCATTGGATGAGCGTAATAGTTCGTAATCTATAACCGTAGGTCTGTAACCAGTGCATCCTACCCGTGCTTACCTACGGAGCCGAAACGTGGACGCTGACTTTGCGACTAGTCCACCAACTAAAAGTTACTCAGCGAGCTATGGAGCGAGCTATACCTACTTGGTTTGTCATTGCGAGACCGAATACGTAATGAAGTCATTCGGGCAAAAACCAAGAAGATCGATATAGCTCGCAGAGTTAGTAAGCTGAAGTGGCAGCGGGCTCGTCGCATATGTCACAGAACCGATAGCCGTTGGGGTAGACGTGTTCTAGAGTGGAGACCGCGAACCGGCAAACGCAGTGTAGGTACGCCCTCCTGCTAGATGGAGCGATGGTAGAACCGAAGATCGGGTTCAGTGGCGAGGTTTGGAGGAGGCATATGTCCAGCAGTGGACTGCCGCAGGCTGATGACGAATAGTTCGTAATACGTAAACTTAATGAGTAAATAACTATTAAGGCTGTCTTACCAGATTATTGAGGAACACAATGCTTTTAAATTAAATTAAATTAAATTAATCTTTATCTTTGCAACTTTTTCCAGAGCATCATTTATTACATCGATGTCCGAGAAACGAACATTTCGTTGGAAACAGCACCGACTGCCCGATAACATGTTCGAACCGATATCAGACAGTGCCGGGAGATTCGTGTGAAACTTACTCGGGATGCGTATGCGATGAAGATCGGGTTCGGCTATTCGATGATGCTACTGGACCTTGCGTTTCGACGGATTCGTGTCGTAAGTGTCTTGAGTGTCGTCGTGGCCCAACGGATAAGACGTCCGGTGCATTCGTGCTGAGCGATGCACCGATGTTCGAAACTTTTTTTTTTTTTTTTTTGCTTAGTTGGGTGGACGAGCTCACAGCCCACCTCGTGTTAAGTGGTTACTGGAGCCCATGGACATCTACAACGTAAATGCACCACCCACCTTGAGATATGAGTTCTAAGATCTCAGTATAGTTACAACGGCTGCCCCATCCTTCAAACCGAATCGCATTACTGCTTCACGGTAGAAATAGGCAGGGCGGTGGTACCTACCCGTGCGGACTCACAATACGTCCTACCACCAATAAATACAATATACACTTCAAAGTTGACCGGATCTCTTAAAAATTATGAAAAGTACTCCAACGTGGCAGCGCGATTATAATAATGCGAATCTTGGTCCTATCTATTCACAGACAGTGACGGCTTGCGATGCTTATTCACACAGGCAATGTCAATAATTTGATCGCGAAAATATTTTTTCAGTTCTTACATAAATTATGGTTGCTTGCAAGCTGATCATACATGAACAGGTGATAAAAGAAAAACATATTACGTCAGTTCATTAAATGCTCACATTACTAAACTAGAATTCCAACAATAATAGATAAAGTTGTTGATTTGACTCAGTATTAAATTTAAAAAAAATGTGTGGTGTCGTGGGACACCGGATAGGAACGAAGTTCCTTATTATACAATTATTAATTTTAAGTTATATTCAATAATTTAATTAATTTTAAGGTATACATTTTTTATTATGATTTTTTTATTGATAAAAATGAAAAAAATTACTTTACAAAGTTATCAACTTTATTTTATTCACAATGATTTATAAAAAATATGTAATAAAAATATGTTACTTGTTGTACGTTATTACAAAGTTAAGTCGTACACTGTGTGCATTACTAATAAAAATCTTACGTTACGTGCGTTTTTTCCCGGTTAGGGTACCCCTCCGCTTATCCCACAAGGAACTTCGTTCCAAAAATATTGCTTTAATGCTCGTGAAGTTTTAATCACAATGCTTCTTTCAGCGCCAGATCCAGTTTACTGTGGGCCACACGAAGAACCGACAGAATGTGAGAATATCTGCTTAGAGTCTTGCGCTCATGTTTATTCTAACGAAATCTGCATCGCCAGTAACCTTTGCATCCCTGGATGCAAATGTACTAAAAACCACTTGAGAAACCAATTGGGAATGTGCGTTCCGCGTGATTACTGCCCAGGTTTGTTTTTTTCCTACCTATGCTGATAGCCTTAAGAGACTATTTCAACTTCGACTTGACATGTAGTTGAGCTCACGGGGCTCAAACCCGGAGTGCTGCTAGCACTGGCCCTAGCAAGAGCAGTGCTTAGCAGAATGTACCAACGGATCGGAAACGCGACCCACTGAAAAGGTTTGTACGAATCTATACTAATATGTAAATGTTTTTATGTTTGATATCTATATATCAATACGTGAAGCAAAAACTTTGTATCGCTTTTTACGAAAATGGCGCGGACGGAGAAGTATGAAATTTTCCACTCTTATAGACAATATTGATAAGAAGTGCACAATGCTAATATTTTTTTTAAATAATGCTTAAAAGATACATTAAATCAATAAAGAAAACATTACACACACTACATACCATGTATTTGACGCACACACGCATGCATACTATTTATTGTCAAACTTTTGTTCTTGGCGTCTGTTGTCAAATTGAGAATAGATTAAATATTGTTTGCCTTTGTTAATATTTTTTATAGTGTAATCTTGGTGAAATTTGTGATTATAGAAGTATAAAATACAATCATAATAAATAGTGTACAACAAACTTACAATTCCAATTAATTATAGTCGAATTTCGACTACTGCGGGGCCTCTAGTTCATATAAAAACGACTGAATTAATTTGGATGAACTTTGCACACAAATAATTTATAGCTTGGATTAACACATCGGACACAGCTTAACATTATCAATGTCTTCACCCAGGCAACGCCGGATATAACCTCTATAATAGCAGGTGTTGAGATTGGTTGTTTGTCTATAAACCATAGAGCGACGCAAGCAACTCATCAATCCCAAAAATGTAATCTTATTATTTCTGAATAAGCAAATTTAACACGAATATAATCTAGGACACGTCTAGTTTTAAACGTGTATAAATGCGATCTTTATTTAATTTTAGGAATAGCTTTTTCATTTATATATTGTTAGGTTTGGAATTGGAAATACAGTCAAAATTATTTTATTAGAGCTTGTTATAACAATAGTGCTATTGAAGTGCCAACAAGTGAATTTAAAAAAAGTAAAAATTTGCGATTTCGTAACAATAGAAAATCTATATAAGTAAAAAGAAATCGAAATTACTTTTCAAAATAACACACCCTATATTTTGTTTCCCTAATAGCTAGTTCATTTTTTTTCTTATTTGGACGGACTAGCTCACAGTCCACTTGGTGTTAAGTGGTTACCGGAGGCCATATACATCTACAACGTAAATGCCGTCACCCAGCTTGAGATATGATTTCTAAGATCTCAGTACAGTCACAACGGCTGCCCAACCCTTCAAAACGGAGCAAATCATTAAAAATCAAAAGCATTACTCCTTCACGGTAGAAATAGACCACCAGTAATTCCGTCATTAATAAGTTTCTAATTCCTAGAAGCGGTGACATACGGACAAACGGAATAAATATTCTTAATATCTTGAAAATAAATCACCGCTACTGTTTGAACACTGTTTGATGATTGTAATGATTACATTCACCGATGTTTATTCAAGTGTTAGAACCACAAGTTGATGTTAACCTCCGTAAGGTCGTAGTTTACACTTCGAGAAGAAAGGATCATGCTTTTTTTTTAAATATACTGCTATTAGTACGTTTCCCCTAAGTTTACTAAAACAAATAAACATTCTAGTTTACATGTTCTACTAAGCTCTAATTTTATATGAAAGCAATTAAGCATTATGGCTTCGTCAAATAGAACGCGTACTTAGCGCTGCGTTTTAACGTCGCGCTCTTTTCTTACTTATAGCGCTGGGACTCTGTTTGACGGTATGTTACCATAGTAGTACAACACATCTCGGCGTCATAGCGCGCCGTCAGTTTACCGCTCTGACGCGCGCTAATTACGCGTTCTGTTTGACGAAGCCTTTATAGTTGACATCAGTGAGACGTTAAGTCATTAGTTCTAAATTCGGGAGCCCTTTGGTAATAATATTGTACCGGATGGAGTCTCGATCATACCCAGTTTCTTTGTGTAAGGTATTCGGGCTGTGAAACTTGTTATTGTTGTTTCCTTCATTAAAAGCACACAGAACAAAATATTAGCGCAGGACTTTCATGCCGACACCTTTAAATACAAACAAAATTTTCCGTTTCTCAATACGGAATCCTTTTTGACATGGGTCTAAACAGCGTATTAATAGATTAAATATTTAAAATTTCCTTCCCAGATTCGAACATCTGCTCGCCAACGTGCGCTCAACCTAATCCACCGGACTGTCCTAATATTGATCGTAATGTATGCGAACCTGGTTATATATTGTCTGAGATCGGAGGCGTCTGCATAAAGATCGAAGATTGTCCTGGTATGAAAATAAATTATGTAAAATTCATAACGTGAATGTCACTATCCACCACGAGTGGAAGTCTTAATTATATTTGTGCAACGGCTAAACATAATGACAAATGGCTCATTTTTTGTAAAGTTTTTAGACCTAGGACCTAGAACCTACAAACTAGGACCTATGACCTAGAACCTAAGACCTAAACCCTAGGACCTAAGTCCTAGGACCTAGGACGTCATTAAATAACGAACAAAATTAAATATTTTTAAAGTAATCATTTGTTATGGGAGGGTAAACCGCTTCGTTACGTTACGCGTTATGGTGCCAGTCTGTCTGACTTCCCTCTCTCTCACGCCTACGGCAACGTATGTAACTCTTAACTATTTATATATCTTTTTCAATTTATGTTACGATTAGCCTTACCTTATCCAATTGATATACATAAAATTTAAGTAATAACCTAAACTTTTCTAAAATTAAACAATTTCAATATTAAATAATTCAACATAGATTAGTTTAAGTTATCACCTCTGTCAGGCGACCACAGACGCACAAATTTTATTTTATAACAAAGACGTTGTCGGTAATATACTTCGCGGCCAGTCAATATATTCGCTGTATCTGGGAATCATTAATGAGTCCTTAAATTTCAGCTGATGCATCCTGCAATTCTGACCCGAATGCTATAATCGCTCAGTGCCCACAACCGTGTCCTTCGACGTGTGAAGCCCCTAATGCTGTTCCGTGCAAGAAAATGTGCGAACCCGTCGGATGTGAATGCAAGCCCGGCTTCATCCGGTCAAAGGTCAACGGCAAATGCATTTTACTTGATCAGTGTCCTGGTTAGTTCTTTTTTATTTGAATTTGGGTGTTTTTGGGCTTAATTCGTGAAGTTGAGGCTACTTGTTTAGCCACAGAATCATTGAAAGATTTTTTTTTTTAAAACTTTTAAGGATGGACGACCTCACAGTCCACCTGGTGTTAAGTGGTTACTGGAGCCAATAGACATCTACATCGTAAATGCGCCACCCACCGCAATTGAAACTACTGCCAGAAACAAAGACGTGTCGAAAAAGTGTTTTTTTTTCGTAAGTTAAAAGAAACTTTTTGGGTGTATCTTCCTTCCTACTATATGGAACAGGATGGAAGAACCAATGTTAGAATGTTGAGTTTATGAGGATTCCTACTTATTACGCCATGGAGTACCTTAAATTCCCCAACTTATTGCCCCGTCAAATCGAATGCGTCAGTGGAAGTCTAACGATGATCCATAAAACTCCAGACAGAACATTTTTTAATCAAGTACGTGTCCCAAGAATTTTACGATCTATTACAAAAATAATTACCATTTTATAAAAAATCCAAAATAATTTTCAAAGAAAATTTATATTCCACGTAAAACGTTGATTCACTAATGATCCAATCAAAAACATTATTCAGAGCCAAAGTTCTTTGATAAATAAAGGAACAAATATAATTAAACGAGATCTATTGGATCGTTCGTGTTTCTGGGAAGTTGAATGATATTTGAAACTTCCGGTCCTTATCTATTACGTACAGGAGTCTCGATTTCAAACGAAGGCAATTTACCACCGTCCGTCATAAAATCGTTATAGTACTCTATTGTTACGTGTAAAAAAAATTCGATGATAACATTTTCTTTAGAAGTTCTATGAGATTATTAATAAATCCTTAATGAATTATATTATAAATGTACTAGTACGCAAACCTTAATAAATACACCTTTATAAAATTCTTGACGTGGTTGCTCTTACATAATATTTTCTTCTATCACTTTCATCTTTCAAAATTCTATTATCTTTTTCGTAACTTTCCCCGGCTTTCCAAAACAAAACAAATAAATAAATTATTAATATTTAATTAAAAAATATTAATTATATAAATATAATATAAATAAAATAAATTATTAATATTTAATTAAAAAATATTAATTATTTATTAAATTTTAATTATTAATTATTTATTAATTTTTAATTAACAATTATTAATTAATTTTTAATTATTAATTATTAATTATAAATTTTGTATTAATTATTAATTTTTAATTAATAATTATTAATTAATTATAAATTTTTAATTAATAATTATTAAATAATTATAAATTTTTAATTAATAATTAAAAAAAATCTAAATGTATAAAAAAAATCTGAGTTATCTAAATATTCCGTTGCTTAAATGTATTATTCATATCGCGTAATTATTAGGCTCGTATCTAGTTTGCTTTCGTCTACTTTGGAACATGATGTTGATAACTAATATTGGAAAATATCGCTAAATACCGAATTAAGACTATGGCATCAATCTGTAGGCAGTTACAATTTATATTAGTACCAATTAGACTTATTTGCCAATAAAATGTATACGTAAATTTCCAACGCAGTTTTAAATTGATTTTCTTAATATTGAACTTTTTCAGGAGGCAATCCCTGTGGAGACAACGCGACTTTCATGAATTGTCGGGTACCTTGCATAACAGACTATTGTCCCGTTAACGACACCAGAGGCGAGGTCATTTGCGATATACCCAACCCTTGCCTTTCTGGATGTGTTTGTAACTCCTACTATAAGCACCGAAGCGTCAATGACAATCAATGTATCCCGGCCAAAGAGTGTCGTAAGTAACTGCTTTAATTCGTCTATATTTTTGTAACGGCTTAGCGTTTATGTTCATAGTTTATACCGCTTAGAAGGCGATGAGATTCAGACGTTGTTTACATTTTAAACGAAGCCATGGGGGCAGATTATAACACACACACACATATTGATATTCGATCGAATTATTCGATGGATGTTATTTATTCGAGAAATTTAACAGTTTTTATCAACATCATAAAGGAGACTGAAAATCGTGGGCCAAAAATGTAATAACTTGGAATGTAGTCTAAAAAATTTGTCATATTTTTTTATATAAGTATATAAAAAATCACCTCAATCCTCTTTCTGGGACCGGAGAAAAATGAGAAAGTTAGTTTTTGTCGGTATAACGGTGTGATCGATTTAATTAATCGATTACAGGATTATAAAAAGAAAAACATTGCACTAGGTAATTAATGCAAAGTAATTAAATGAGCGATTTATACTTGTTGTATACAAGTGCGGTATACGCCGGATTTAATTGCGATTATATACATAAATGAAGAAAAAGTCTATTATTACTTAACAAAGTAATATGATTATCGATTTCAAATCGATTAAAATCGATTGTATTTTTGATGACAGCTTTGACAGTAAGCTGACATGACGTTTGTTCATAGATTATACAATTATTTTTTGGCGCTTGTTGGTTTTTTCTGCTCTACTCGTTTTGTATCTTCGACGCGTTTTGAGTGTGTATCTATCGGGCTGTTTTTATATTTTCAACGATCACTGCTTTATTATTACGGATCCCAACTCTGTTAGCCTTGTACGACAATTGCTTCTACACTGGACACCGAAGATCGCTCACACGTTTGACTTGAAATTGTTGCAATGGATACTGTTGAAATTATGGATCGCTGTGTGAATTGTGGGATAGCAATTCCATATTCCATACCTGATATATATCATTGATATTCATTCATAATATGACATTCAATAATTATCCAATGGATATAATAAACATTTACTTATGTTATTATTCAGCTCTTTTAAAGAGATTGTAACATAACCTAACTTTTACTAAATATTTATTAACTCGGCTCTCAGATTGAGAAAACTTTTATAATTTTCAGCAAGGTACTGATAAATCTGAATCTATTCATTCATATTAGTTTCATCACGTTACATTCGGGCCCAAAAATGTATGTAATCGTTTCAGTCTCCTTTAACCTTACATCGTAGGCCAACTAAGAACTACTTTGTTATTTTTAAACTCGTTTAGAACACCTCTCTCAATATAAGTATTTTTTTTTAAATTTGGAATGTAAATCTTGAAAAAAAAAAATTCATTCAAAAAACATCAAAATTGTTGTTCAAATTCGATTTTCATTCGCTCATAATAAATTCTGACTTATGGAAATGGTAAATGCTAAGTTATTCGTTTACTATTGACAAACAAGCGCACACATATTAGGTACCTGATATTTAACGATTACTAGAGTCCATGGACAAAGCAACGGGAATATCACGGCTCACGGCATCCACCTTTGCGCACCTAACATGACTTTCCGTCTGTTAATACAAATTTTAAGGAGTTATTTATGAAAATAATTAAGAATCTTAGTTATTAAGAAGATAGGGCATGCAAACCCACATTTTCTAATCAATTAACTATTAACCTTTTCTGCCCTATTGAACAGAAAATACCTTTGACCTTATCTGACCTTAACATGGATATGTCTAGTACAGTAGAAATATATTTTGAGTATGTCGTTGAAGTTCATGACGTTTCCAAAAACTATTTTCAGCACCGGTCAAGTGCACCAGACCGAATGAAGTCTGGGACTCTTGTCCATCGACGTGCCTATACGAGAACTGCAACGATGTGGACAATCCGAATGTAGTGTGCGATGACAGTTGCAAAGCCGAACCCCGTTGCGTGTGCGACGAGAATCATTTTAGAAACAACGACGGAGTGTGTGTACCAGCTGAAGAATGTCGTAAGTATTTATATTACTAACATATTATATTTCATACATTACATATAAGTCGTCGTGGCCTAAAGGATAAGACGTCCGGTGCATTCGTATCCAGCGTTGCACCGATGTTCGAATTCCGCAGGCGGGTACCAATTTTTCTAATGAAATACGTACTTAACAATTGTTCACGATTGACTTCCACGGTGAAGGAATAACATCGTGTAATAAAAACCAAACCCGCAAAATTATAATTTGCGTAATTACTGGTGGTAGGACCTCTTGTGAGTCCGCGCGGGTGGGTACCACCACCCTGCCTACTTCTGCCGTGAAGCAGTAATGCGTTTCGGTTTGAAGGGTGGGGCAGCCGTTGTAACTATACTTGAGATCTTAGAACTTATTCTCAAGGTGGGTTTTATGGTGGGTGGCATTTACGTTGTAGATGTCTATGGGCTCCAGTAACCACTTAACATCAGGTGGGTTGTGAGCTCATCCACCCATCTATGCAATAAAAAAAAAATATATATATATATATTTTTCGCAATCAACACGGTCTATCGGCGTTCGATGGGTCAACTATTCACTGGTCGAGCGGAGCACACGACCAACTGCTATCGTGGGGCAGTCGGCTAGACCGGTCAAATTCGAACCATTGCGTGTTCCTTTATACGTACCTATCTGTTTGTACCTAAAAGTTGCGAATCATTATAATCTGACCGAGTAAATTAATACTGTGTTTCGTTTCTCCTAAATTACCCAACGACGCCCACTGAAAAACTGAACATCACAACCCAGCCCTGCCGACGTTATATTATACAGATTGATAAGAGATCGTTCATGAAGTCGAAAAAAAAAACTTCCTCAATTTAGACGGAATATTAATTTTCATAAAAAGATCTTCATTTGCATAAAAAAAAGCTAAATTGGTAGGATCATATTATGTGAACCCGCAATGCATTATGGTCTCGAACGGCGAATCTAGTATAACCCCTCGAGACTACTACCTAGGCGGCACTGAAAATTTCGGGAATTAACGAAGTGACACAACATTACTATTTAAAAATGTATTTATTGCTTTTTGAAGTATTCTCCGCGAAATTTGACACATTTTTCCGTACGATGGAACCAATCATTGAAGCAACCATTCCATTCGGAAGTTGGGGTCTCCAAAATGGCCGTTTTGTAGGCGTCCACAGCTTCTTCAGGTGATGAAAATCTCTGTCCACGCAATTTATTCTTTATTTTAGGGAAAGTATAGAAATCATTAGGGCTTAGGTCGGGGCTGTACGGCGGATGGTCTAATAATTCTATGTTTTCTTGCTCTAAAAACTCTTTTGTTCTGTGCGCGGTGTGAGAACTCGCATTGTCGTGATGGAGGATGATGCGGCAGTTGCAGTTCTCTTTACGGAGTTCAGAAACGACCTGTGGCAAACAAATGCTAGCATACCATTCTGCATTAACCGTTCTTTGTCCCTCAAGAGGAATAGTCGTAACATGGCCGGTTTTTGGAGACAAACGTGGCCACCATTTTTTTTTGCAACACTCCGTGAACGAACAATTTTTGTTGGCTTTAACTCATTTTCGAACACCCAAACTCGTGACTGGTTTTTTGTTTCGGTTTCGTACGCGTATATCCAGGTTTCTTCACCTGATACAATGTTGTATACAGCATTTGAGGATCCTGCGTGGAATCTTTCGAGAGTTCTGACGCACCAAGTAACGCGAGCCACTTTTTGCTCTTCACAGAGCGAATGCGGTATCCATCGGGAAAACAACTTTTTTACACCTAATTGTTCATGCAAGATTATTTGTATTTGACTCATGCCAATGTCTAAAGTTGCCTGAATTTCGCGGTATGTCACGTGTCGATCTTCCTCAATCAGCTTACGCACAGCATCAACGTTTTCTTGGGTGACTGCAGTTTTTGGACGACCTTGACGGGGATCATCACTGAGCTTGACACGTCCACGTTGAAACTCAGCAAACCAGCGATAAATTGTGGCTTTAGATGGGGCTTCATCACCAAATGCAGAAATCATCCGGTCAACACACTGTTTTTGTGTTAAACCACTTCGAAGTCATAATAAATCATCGCTCTTGAATTTTCTCGAGTCAATTCCATTTTCTCAACGACTAAACAAGTTTGACAAAACCTCGTGACAAGACCGAGAATCTTTTTTTAAATAAATAAATGGTATTCGATGTTTAAAACCAAGGAGTTTTCAATTAAAAATATTTTAATATGACAGGAACAGTGGAAATATTCCATTCCCGATACTTTTAGTGCAGCCCTCGTAGAATAGGTAAAAAAATGTATCACGCAAAATCGCGCTTTACAAAATGACGAAAGTTTTTTTTTTTGAGGAAGGATTTCAGACTTCTTTGTATTATAGCATCTATATAATCTAAAATCTCGAGTGAACGAAGGCATTCGTCTGGTTTTACACGTTACATTGCGCTTTTAAGATATTTTATGTTAACCGAATGATAATCACGGTATTAGGACTTCTCTGTATTATTCAATTTATTAATCTATAAAATTTAACTTATTTCTTACAGCTTCCTACGTCATCAATACTGAACGCTGATGGAAAACGAATGGTATTTGTTAAAATTGTAACTATTACAAAAAGATTAATAATAAAGAAAATATAAACTGCCTGTTTCATTTTTCCTGTTCTACAAATTACAGTACTTAGATATACTTAGAGCATTTATATATGAATATCTACAAAAACAGAATTTCCTTAAAAGTCGCTCTTTCATACTTCGTGAAATACATCTTAAAGTATTTGATTAATTTTTTTTGTATTTTCAAAATATTTTAATATAGTTGGTTTTCAGAAAAAAAATCCGAAACATAACTTGATTCTCTGGAAATATCTAATAAACTACTGCTACTAATTTTACGTCAAACTGAAACAAAAAATCAAGTGAAATCTGAACAATGTTGTCAAGAAAAAATATGTATACAAAAAAAAGTGTTAAGAGGCTTTCGGTGCAAATCCGGGCGACGTTCAAAGAACACTGATGACAAACAGGAAAAATTGGACGTAAAGCTGGCAATGTCGTCGCCTTCAAATATTTTCCGTCCAACGAAACTGAATGGTGGATTTCTTTGCGGTTTTTCAATACAAAAGAAACAACAAAAGACTAATAGATACTGTAGGTACTTCCTTAACCTGTGAATCATAACATAACATGTCCCATCTAACAGTATCTTCATCATCATTAGCCTGTCTCTATCCACTGCTGGATGTAGGCCTCTCCCAACAGTATCTTTATGAGTACTTAAATAATTAAGCAATGCATTGACAACAAAAGTAATTAGGGTTAGGTATACAATAAATGTAAGGACTTACGGAGCCGAGACGTGGACACTCATAGTAAGGATGGTTCGTCAGCTCAAGGTCGCTCAACCAGCAATGGGAAGAGCCATTCTCGGAGTTTCTCTGAAAGATAAAATTCGGAATGAGGTTATTCGACAGAGAACTAAAGCCATCGACATAGCTCAAAGAGTCAGCAAGCTAAAGTGGCAGTGGACTGGCCATATATGCCATAGAGCTGACGATCGCTGGAGCAGACGGGTTCTCGAGTGGAGACCGCGCAGTGGAAGACGTCACGTGGGACGTCCCCTGGCTAGGTGGTGGGTGCTATGACCACTGAACGTTGATGATGCTGTTGATGATGATGATATAATAATATAAATTAGAAGGGAATTATTCCTACATTTTTAAGCGACGGATCAATTTTTTTTTTCTCTCGGTCGGTTCGGTTGTGTTCGGTTCGATTTCTCTGCTCCCGTAAATAAATTAATTAAAAATAAACTAACACTTCATAATATCGCACCCTTAAAATATAAATGACACTATACGAAAATGTTCATTTTACAGTATGGCCGTTTTAAGTTTTTTTAAGTATTGTATGGGTGATATGGAACATAAAAAATGTAAATAAAGCTTCGTGATCGGCTTAAAATAACAGTTTAACTAACGCTGTTTTAGAATCCAGTGGCGTACCATAAAATTATTGATTATTTATTAATGGAGAAGCATTTAAAAAAAAAGTTTTGTATAGTGTCGGTTATAGTTTGATAGTTATTCAATAATTTTTGCTTAATGACCTCTAAGTCGTTATTTTACCTACATTGTAATGATAAAAAAGATACAAATAAAACAATATAATTACTGAAATATTAAAGAATAC